CTGCTCTGAGCTTCAGAAACGGCTCAGCCCGGCCAGCTGTGGGCACTTGCTTCACCATGTCAGAGAGTCTGTCTGTACTCCTTCTAGTGGGGCGGTACAGGAACGAGTTGGGAAGTCCTGAATAGGAAACTCCACATTTAGAAAATGTACCTTAATATCTCAGTTCCACTCAGGGACAACCTGTGAGGACCGGTCATTAGGCTGAGCTCACAGAGGGGACCTGCGGGAGGAGATGCCCAGACGGCGTAGGCATGCATGCGCAGAGTCGCACCCTTTCTGGGAGAGTTGCATGAGGGATCTGCTGATACTGCACATTCAAAACTAGGACATTCCTAATGCTTCGTCATGTTCTCAATTCAAACAAGCAGAAGTTCGCGTGTACACTTTTGCACCGCCCCTTAAACGTGTTAGGAGGAAAGGGCTCATAATAAAAAGGAGCGTAAAAAAGAGGCATAAGCGATGCGGTTGGGTTTCATCAGCACCACCTAAGATGAGGGTGTCACTGGACAGAAGCTAGAGATGTGGAGAAGAGAAGTAGTGTCAGACTGGAGCAGCTGTTCAGCATACCAAGGACATCTCTGGGCAGGCGTTGACCAGAGAGACCCCTGGATGTCAAAGCTGCCTAAAGGACTCTGAGGACTGTGATCTTGGTACAGCTGTCTGGTTAGGTTCAAAGGAAGAGAGTGGCTGATGGAATATTCCCTTTCCCTTCTCCGTGGCTCTTCCTCCGTCCTTTATCTTCTTAGTATACCTTACAAGGATCTTAAACGGCCACTCCCTTCCCATTTGAAGGGCTTTATTATAAAAGTCCCTTCGAGGATTCCCGACAGATGCCTGCGAGTCACAGCTCTGGGTTAAGACATTTACTGTCGGGGTCCTGGTGTCCCACTCTGGGAGACTGCAGTTTTCAGTCCCACCTTGTCGCTAAGCTGCTCCACACACCAAAAGAGATACCATCAAACACCTACATGACAGCTGACTCTGTCTGGCATACAGCATGTTACCTGTAGAAATTACGCCATGACAAACCACAGAACCTCAGGTTTGGAACACAGAGAGGGCGGGGCCAAATGCAGCACCTCTGTGTACCAAACCCTCTTGTGTAACCTTGTGTCCTAGGCCCCAAAGGTCACCCCTCTGAAGGACTTCTTGGTTCTGTGCAAAGCATTTTGCTGAAAGTTGCCACCTCGCCACCCGAGTCCCATCTGAAAGGGAAAAAGTGAAATGGCTGTGACAAGCAAATGGCATAAGCACGACCTTGACATTTTGCTTCTGTCCCATCTCTGACAGAAACAAAAGCAGGACAGAAGAGGTTGAAGACAATGGCAAGTATGCCACGACTTCTTTTTCCATAGATTTCCGTAGTCTAGAATCACGACTCAAATATTCCTCCAGAACACAACGAAATACCACGATTTGACATTTGGTGTCACAGATAATCGGTGCAAGGATTTGGGATGTAGCTAAGTTCGTGTGGTCAATTCCGAATAATCTGAAAAGAAGAAAAAGTGATAGTCTGGCAATAAACCAGCGTTTGGCCAATAGTTGTTCCTGAAGTGCATGAATAGAAGAGGTCACGGGATCTAAGGAAAGCCTGCCGGGACCTCTGATCCCATTAAATGCCAAGTCTCACCCCAGTAAGTGCCAGGTTTGCTGCAGCTAACCTGCCAGGTCGGCTTCCAGGTGAGCCTACCCCTTTTCCCACCGTCCATCTACAGCTGTGAGTTGAGTTTCAGAACCGTAAAGAACAGCTTGAACTCAGGCTGATGGAGTTTTGTAAAGAAAATCACCTTTACAGCTAAAACGTTAGCATTCTGTGGTATTCATTAGCTCATTCCTTCAATAACATTTATTGCCAACTGACCACGTGCAGTACTTGTGAGTCAGGCATTCACTCCTTCTAGATGTTCAGCCTTAGATAACAACACGGAACCGTTCCAGCTCTTCTCTCTCCTTTTGCCTAGAGGGAATGAGGACTTTGCAGGCCCCCTCTTGAATGCAGGTATTTCCTTGTTCAGAAATAGGGCTGTAGCCTGCTCTGAACAGAGCTTTGTCAACTCAAGAACAGCTTTTTTAAAGAGCAGCTCTGCTAACTGGCTGCCCCTTTCTTCTCGCATTCAAAGTGGATTCTGTAGGTATGGAGCTTAATTGGAGAACTATTTTAAATTTCCTCTGATAGGTGGCCCTTCACCAATCCTGGGAAGTGGAAAATATTTTGCTTTTGGTCTAAAGCAGCTCCAGGGACAATGCACAACATTCAGCCTCTTGCACAGGGTGGCCAAACAGCTGCAGGTTCTTAGGGACGCTGGAGCGCGTTTTGTATTTAAAGTGAAATCCCTGCACCTTACAGCAGATGCAAAAGCACCCTTGCTGTGGAGAAAAATGGCTCTCGGGAGCCAGGGCCTTTGAAAGGTTACACGCGAGGACAAAGCCGTCCCGCCGGAAGGCAGGGGAAATTGCCTGCATCCCACAATCGTTTCGTGTGAGATCGCGAATGAAATTTACTTATTTGCGTTTCCAAATTTCCTTTTCCAAGGGCTTGCGTGGCATCTGCCTCCTCTCGCTTCTGAGAAGGCCGGTCGTGTAATGAGCCATGACTCTTAATGAAGATGCTCATGAAATAAAGTAGCAGATATTTAGAGTTTCCTCCTTGCTGAACTTTTCCTGATTAGCATAAAAATGGCTGAAAGGATACAAAGCCATAACGCTTCCAGATAAGGCTTTGATTGTAGAGCACAGCAAAACCGAATTAACTATTTGCCCAAAGCACTTGAGGGCATTTTTTTCTTGCCCAGCAAAAAGAAAAAACCCTGATCCCTAAGAATTCTACACCTGACATTTCTCTTAATTAGATGCAAGAAAGGAACAAAGGTCGCATTTGGATGAATGAAAGTGAATGCCTCATTATTTTTGTAGGAAATTGTCTGCATGTTTTCCTGACATTTGTGTGGCTTGCCAAGCCTTTCATCGTGTTCTCGCCCACATGAAATTATTTGAACATTTTGGGAAGAGAACAGGTGACAATAGTGGCTGTCACCATTTTGCAGATGAGGAAACTGAGGCTCCAAGAGGTTACATGTCTGAGAACTGAAGTAAGCTCAGCGACAAAAGTAAGGATTTAACGTTTGCTGCTTCCCCAAAAAGAACTGAAGCAGTTTGTCAGCACAGCTAGTACTTATGAGAGTGCCGTGACATAAGATTGAGGGGAAAGGGAGGAGAAAGATTTAAAAAGTAGCTGGGCGCAGTGGCTCACGCCTGTAATCCCAGCACTTTGGGAGGTCGAGGTGGGCAGATCACCTGAGGTCAGGGGTTTGAGGCCAGCCTGACCAACATGGAGAAACCCCGTCTCTACTAAAAATGCAAACCTAGCTGGGCGTGGTGGCACAGGCCTGTAATTCCAGCCACTTGGGAGGCTGAGGCAGGAGGATCACTTGAACTTGGGAGGCGGAGGTTGTGGTGAGCCGAGATCACACCATTGCACTCCAGCCTGGGCGACAGAGTAAGACTCCATCTCAAAAAAAAGGGAACAGAAAATTGAATAAAAGGGTGAAACTGACCCTATCAACTTTATAAAATTAATCAGAGGATACGGAAGGGGGAGACATGAAAATAAAGCCAGCTTGCGTCACGTTCAGCATGGACCGTGAGGTTAGCCAGCTCTGATCTGCGTCCTCAGAGTTGTTTGAGGAACACCTATTGTCCTGGGATCATGTACACCCTGTTGCAAGATTATAGTTCCCCTTCCCTGCTCTGTAGAAAACAACTCGAGAATTGCGAAACATTAAGTTGTCCGTTTGAGCTACTCCTTTAGTTCCTGCATCTTGATGAAACTACTGTCTCAGCCCGTCCGAAGGACCCCGCAAGAGGCTGCCTCGCCAAAGAATGCAGTTTTCACTTCCTGATGATTTTATCCCCCTCCCCGACCAATCAACAACCCCAATTACCCAGCCCCTTGCCCTTCATGATCCCCTTAAAAGCCCCAGCCAAGAACTCCCTGGGGAGATGGATTTGAGAGTCTCCACCCGTCTCCTTGCTTGGCACCCTGTGATTCTTCAGCTTTCTCTGCTGCAACCCCTGCTGTCTCTGTGTAATGGATCTGTTACTGCACAGTGGGAACATGAACCTGTCGGTCCTATAACAAGGGACCGAGAGTAACCAGAGGGGTTATGCTGAAGTGTGGCTCAACGCAGCAGCTCAGCCTCATGTGCCTCAGAATGAAAATATTAGATGAACAACTACATGCGCTAAACTTCATGGTTTCTCAAGATACGATGCACGAGCACCCTCTGGCTGGCACCCAAACAGGATACTAGGCATGGCTTGTGGCTGATATGTGGGACGGACCATGTATATCAGTCCGTGGGATGACACTAAGGCAGTCAAAACTCAGAGATGAGTTAACCTCTCAGACTACAATGAAGAAGAATCAAAAGGTAGAGGGTGAAGTCAGAATAATGAATAATTAGTAAATTACTGACCGAGGAGAGATGTCCCCAGTGAGTCCATGTGTTGTATCAGGACATCTAGAGTAACTTCTGTGAGGCTGAACATAGGAAGCATCTTAACCCGGAAGAACACGAGTCTGTTGTGCTTGCTTTATCTAGGAAAGATCGACTGTTAAGAGCAGGAGATAGGTAGATGTAAACCCTCCCCAGAAGGAATGAGACAGCACTGGGGCTGGGTGGGAAGGGAAAGGACAGTCACTGGTGCACACAGTTTAGGGCAGAAGCTTCAGTAGGTGTCACCAGGCCTGTGGGTGTCTGTGCTCTGTTTTCTTATTCATCCAGTAGCCTCTAAGGGACCTGGATACTGGAGAGGGTTGCTGAGGATGGAGCACGTAGTCTTTGGGGAGACCTAATCCTTCTTATAAAGTAACTGGCTTCCAGGTTTCCAGTTTAGGTCTTTGGTAGATAGCTATATAGCTATTGCTTTATAACAAACAATCACAACTTCAGTGGCATAAAAGACCAAAAATCATTCATTCTTATTATCTCTTGCAGTCTGGGGATTACTGGCGCTAGGACTTCAGCTGGGGCTTCACCATGTGGTCAAGGCTTCCTGACGGCATGGCCACTGCTTTTGAAGAGTGAGCGTCCTGAGGAAAAGCCAGCAGGGAACTGCATTGCCTTTTAGAATCTAGTCTGAGGGTCGCGGAGTGTCACTTCTCTGATCGTCTCTCTGTTAAAGCAGTAACAAAAGCCCATCCAGGTTCAAGGGGAAGGGACAGACTTCACCTCCTGATGGGAGATGACAAGATCACATTATGAAAAGAGCAGGTGGGCTGGGGAGGGCTCTTGCACCGTGTGTGGTGTTAGTCCACCGGCCTGTGCTCTGGCAACAGTAACTCATAGCCTTCCCTGTGCAACATACTCATCTCCTCCCCAAAGACCCGTGTGGCATCAGGACAGGTCAGGATGGAATAAAGCCAGATGTCCCCCACTCGCTCTGCCATGCAGGCACCCCTGTTCCTATTCCACTGATTAGAAAGAGAGAATTTCTCCTGAAACTTTTCCTGCCTTGCCACTTAAGCAGTTCTGGGTTTAGGTGCCCTGAATCTATGTCAAGAGACGTGGAAGGGGAAAGAGAGGAAACGCCCCACCTTATTCATCTTTCTTGCAGTTTGGCTGTCCCTCTCCAACCCACCTGCTATTATTTCCTTGCAGATTTCCTATTAAGTTGCTTTATGTATCCACTCTGGGGTTCTTAGAAGGAACCCGTTGGGGAACTACATGGCATTGGCTCTCTCTCTCTTAACTGGAACCAGAACCACAAGCCATTTCTTAATTTTTGAGGTGTTTGCCATTTGGAGAGGCTGGGAATGAGAAATCTTTTTTTTTTTTTTTTTACTTTTTTCAAATCCTGCAAGTCATGCCACCTGTATATTTCACCATGGGTTCCTTAGCTCATGCCCATTCTGTGTGTGTGTGTGTGTGTGTGTGTGTGTGTGTGTGTGTCTTTTTTGAGACAGAGTCTCACTCTGTCACCTAGGCTAGAGTGCAATGGTGTGATCCCAGCTCATTGCAACCTCTGCCTCCTGGGTTCAAGCGATTCTCCTGCCCCAGCTTCCTGAGTAGCTGGGACTACAGGTACCCATCACCACACCTGGCTAATTTTTGTATATTTAGTAGAGACGGGATTTCACCATGTTGGCCGGGCTGGTCTTGAACTCTTGACCTCATGGTCCACCTGCCTCGGCCTCCCAAAGTGCTGGATTACAGGCATGAGCCTCCGCGCCCAGCCCATTCTCTCTTACTTTATTGCGGCTTCCAGAAGCTAGGTGGCCCGTGTGCTGTCAGTTCCCTCCACTCAGTCATGCAGCTCATTGATGCATTTTCTGTTTTCCGGGTCATCCTGGGTTTCAGTGTTGCTGAGCGTCTCACCACTACATAGACCTGTCTTCTCTCTTCCAGGGCTCAGTGATAATCCATCATGTTTACTGAGCCCCTCACTGACACACTTCTCAAGGCCCCTCTACCTTCTATTCACTGCCTGGTCCCAAAGCCAGTGCCACACAGTTTAGGTTTTACAGCACCTGCGATGGTTCCAGGATTGATTACAGACACAAAACCACCTTGAGCAAAACAAGGAATTTACTTTTATTTATTTATTTAGAGACAGACTTTTGCTTTTGTTCCCCAGGCTGGAGTGCAATGGCATGATCTTGGCTCACTGCAACCTCCATCTCCCGGGTTCAAGTAATTCTCCTGCCTCAGCCTCCTGAGTAGCTGGGATTGCAGGTGCCACCACCATGCTCAGCTAACTTTTTTTTTTTTTTTTTTGAGATGGAGTCTCTCCCTGTCACCCAGGCTGAGTGCAATGGCATGATTTTGGCTCACTGCATCCTCCACCTTTAGTTTCACACGATTCTCCTGCCTCAGCCTCCTGAGTAGCTGGAATTACAGGCAGACATCACCACACTCAGCTAAGTTTTTGTATTTTTAGTAGCGATGGGGTTTTGACATGTTGGCCAGGCTTGTCTCATACTCCTGACCTCAGGTGATCTGCCTGCCTTGGCCTCCCAAAGTGCTGGGTTTACAGGCAGAAGCCACCACACCCGGCCACAACCAGGAATTTATTAAAGAGATTAGGATACACATTGTTATGAGAGCTGCAACGTACTGCCTGTGTCCAGAAGTGGGCCTGAAGTCTGCAGAGCTGGCAAATGGATGTGAAGTGGGAGAGGGCAGGCATGAGCTGCACCCTCAGGGAGGAGATGGAACCCCTGAGGATGGACGGAAACTGACATCTTCCATGTCAGCCCCTCAGGCCTCCAACACTCCAGCTCTGACAGTGAAGATGATCTGCAGAAGAGCTGGCGCCCTTCACCATGGAATAAACCCAGGATTCAGAGAAGCTGAAGAAGCGGTTCTGGTGGGAGCTGGAGGCAGTGCAGGCACAGCTGCTACCCTGTACCAATAAATGCAGCCAGTGGGTGCAGGGCATCGTGTGTGAGCCCCCACAGCGCTGTGGTGGGCCCTACGCAGACTTTTTGATTGTAAACATGATTGCTGTTTCACTCTGCCTTCCACATTTTGGTCAGATTTTTTCAGAAACGTAGTTCCAGCTTAGGCACGCTGACACGGTACAAAGCCACCACAGTAGCTGGCCAGGGAGGGATTATGAGTGCAGGCTGAGAATGCACAGGAAGCGTTGCCTATTTATGGAGTAGGTACTATTTAAGGGTTTATGTGCATCAGACGCAAAGAACTCAACCAAAGGTGGGGAAAGTTAGTGCTTAGAAATCCGTGACACTAGATAACCAGTAAATACAAATAGACACATAGAATAAACCTTTAATAAAACAGCACTGGGCTGGGCAGGTGGCTCAAACCTGTAATCCCAGCACTTTGGGAGGCCGAGGCAGGTGAATCACTTGAGGTCAGGAGTTCAAGACCAGACTGGCCAATGTGGTGAAACCCTGTCTCTACTAAAAATACAAAAATTAGTCAGGTGTGGTGGTGGGCACCTGTAATCCCAGCTCCTCGGGAAGTTGAGGCAGGAGAATCGCTTGAACCTGGGAGGTGGAGGTCACAGTGAGCCGAGATCATGCCACTGCACTCCAGCCTGGGCAGCAGAGCAAGACACTATCGCAAAAAAAATAAAAATAAGTAATATAGCATTGAAATGATGAATAATACTATTTCAGCACATCTAAACTGATCGTGCAGATACTAAGAGGTTTCCTGCATGAGTTTGCTAGGGCTGCCATAACAAAATACCGTAGACCGGGGTCTTTAAGAAGAGAAATAGATTTCTCAGTTCTCGAGGCAGGACATTCAAGACCGAGGTATTGTCAGGCTTGGTTTCTCTGGATCCTCTCCTCGGCTTGCAGGTGACAGTGGCTGCTTTCTTGCTGTGTGTTCACATGGTCGTTCATCTGAGCTCGCACACGTGCAGCGTCTCTGTCTGTGTCCTAATCTCCTCTTCTTATAAGGGCACTAGTCATACTGGATCAGGGCCCACTTTCGTGCCCCCGTTTCACCTTAATTCCCATTTTAAAGGCCTTATCTTCAAATACAGCCACATTCTAAGGTACTGGGGGTTAGAGCTCCAATGTGTGAGTTTTGGGGAAGCACAGTTGAGCTCATAACATTTTCCTTTTTTTGAGGGGGGAGGTGATGGAGTCTCACCCTGTCTCCAGGCTGGAGTGCAGTGGCACCATCTTGGCTCACTGCAACCTCTGCCTCCCGGGTTCAAGTGATTCTCCTGCCTCAGCCTCACGAGTAGCTGGGACAACAAGTGTCCACCACCACGTCCAGCTAATTTTTGTATTTTTAGTAGAGACAGGGTTTCACTATGTTGGCCAGGATGGTCTTGATCTCCTGACCTTGTGATCTCGGAAAGTGCTGGGATTACAGGCGTGAGCTACCGCGCCCAGCCAGCTCATAATATTTTCTATAGAACAATCAGGTTTGAGACATGCCACATGCTATATTTCCTTCTTGGAAATTTCCAAAGTATACATGTATGTGAATGACTACGCAAACTCCCGGAAAACATCCAGTTCACCTTTCACACCCTCACTGTTCGATCCATTATTTATTGATAACCTTCCACTGGCTTCCTTTATGCATTGGCCGAGCACATTGAGCTGCTGCATGGAAATACGATCTGCCGGCTGCCGCTGCAGTCGGGAAGGGAAGGTGGCCGTGGGGAGAGCAAGCGCAAGCTGTAGTCTCAAGGAGATGAAGTGGAACCCCGGGCTGTCTCTCATTAGAGCGCATGGGTCTCAGCACTTCCAGGCCTCTGGCTTTGAAGATGCCCAGGGAGTTGCTCTGGAGGTCTGTGTGGAGAGACTGGGATTGGTAAGTGGGCAAGAGGATTGGCTCTCGCTGGATAGAACTGCCTCTTCCATCTGTTCCAAGGGGACTTCTGAATTGCCGGGGCGCTGGCCTGTCCTGGCTCACCCACACTTGCTGGCCGGGGTGGGTGGCCTCTCACCTGGCCTGACCTTGCTGCCCGCTTTGTTTTGCCCTTTGCAGGTGAGGAAAAGAGCAGAGCCGTGGATGCCAGTGGAGCGTGGCCAGGGCAAGGACTTGCACAGAAAGGTGTGGACAGGCGTGAAGGCTGGGCCCTGTGCCGTGAGCCAGTGCCCCCACCACGCCCTGGCCCCAGGCGCCTGCATCATCAGGGTGGGCACAGCCCGCCTCGCCAGGCCTCTCCTGGCTCATGGCCCACTTTCTGCATGCTACTCCTACCTCTCCGATCTCATGCTTAGCTCAGCTCTTCTGGCTCAAAGTTTCGCCTTTCTTCCTGAACACAGTTAGGGTTCTCTCTGTTGGCCCTGGACCCCCATTCTGAACAGTTCCCATGGTGCTGGCCTTCTCCAGTCCTCTGAATTAAACCCCAGACTCACGCGAGACTTCAGCCAAGTGAAGATTCTCTGTGCGCCCTCGCACCTGGGGGCGGGGGCGGGCAGGTGTTTCCCCTCTTCCTGTCGTGCTCTTACCGTGAGTCATGTCCAGGTCCTCCAACAGGGTCAGTCAGCTTCTCATCTCAGCTGTGCTGTAACACGGTATCTCTGCAGCCTGGACGGTGTTTTCATGAAGTGTACATCTCTGCAGTAACTGGCCTGGCACATTCGAATAGGAACAGCAGCTTGCTTTCCTGCAGGGTACGGTGCAGATTGCTTTCCATGCGTTACTTCTGCTCCTCACACAGCCCCCTCCGCCACCCCGAAAGATAGAGCCAGAAAACTGGCTCCCAGACAGCAGCTTCGCTCAGCCAAGGCCCATCAGAGCACTGCCTGGGACCCACATCTCCCGACTCCAGGGCCGGGGCACCTCGGGGCCCTCACATGGGCCTTAATAGAGATACAGTTTATGTTCACACCAGGCCTTGGGCCATGCAGAGTCCTCAGTCTCTCAGGAGTTGCTGCATTTTCTTATAAATGCCAATTCAAAAGTCCCTTCAGGCGTGGTGGTTCACGCCCATAATCCCAGTGAGGCTGAAGTTGGGGGGACTGCTTGAGGCCAGGAGTTTCAGACCAGCCTGGGCAAGAAAATGTGACCCCATCTCTGAAAAATAAATGAAAATGTAGGTGGGTATGGGGGTGTACACCTGTAGTCCCAGCTGCTCCAAAGGCTGAGGAGGGAGAATTGCTTGAGCCCAGATGTTTGAGGCTGCAGTAAGCTGTGCCTGTACCATAGCACTCCTGTGGTGATAGAGTGAGACCCTGTCTCTAAAAAACAAAAGAAGTAAAACATAGCTGAGCATTGTGGCGCACACCTGTAGTCCCAGCTACCTGGGAGGCTGAGGCAGGAGAATTGCTGGAGCCTAGGAGGTCAAGGCTGCAGTGAACCATGACTGTACTCTGTCTCAGAAAAAAAAAAAAAAGAGTCCCTCAGTAGCCTCTGTCATGAAACTCCCCTTGGTATTCGCTGTCCTCAGTAACCCTGAAACAATTCCTACCATGAACCCCATTCACTGAATTGCTTTGGAAAACATTGCTTTCTAAATCAAAGCTGTCATGTAAATGCGAGAGTTATCCTTGCCCAGGAGGTCTGGACGCGTCTCTCCTGGTCTGGCCTCGATCTATTATCCTGGCAGCTTCCTTTTTCAGAATCTCCCTCTCTGGTCTCTGCCTCCACAGTCGGCCCCCACCCCGCGTGTCACAGAATGTATTTACATTCTAAGCGACATCCCTCAAACCTCACACGTATCTTTTTCTCCTATAAATATTTAAAACAATACCTTTAAGGACATGCCAACTTAAATGCTCTTGAGATGCACACAAAATCATGGGAGTTGTCCATGGGGGTATTCCTTTTCTTTTTTCTTTTTTTTGAGACAGAATCTTGTTCTGTTGCCCAGGCTGGAGTGCAGTGGTGTGATCTCAGCTCACTGCAAGCTCCACCTCTCGGGTTCAGGTAATTCCCTGCCTCGGCCTCCTGAGTAGCTGGGATTACAGGTGGGGTGCCCGCCACCATGCCCAGCTAATTTTTGTATTTTTAGTAGAGATGGTGTTTCACCATGTTGGCCAGGCTGGTCTGGAACTCCTGACCACAGGTGATCTGCCCGCCTCAGCCACCCAAAGTGCTAGGATTACAGGCATGAGCCACCGCGCCCGGCCTCATGATGCTATTTCTTAAGCAGAATTTTGTGTTCATGCCATTGAGAAAGGGCTAGTGAAGTATTTTGTATTTCTGTAAGACTTAGTTTAAAAAGCAATTGTAAAAATATTTTCTCACCAGATCCTTAAACAATCTCTAAGAGGATTAGGCCGGTCGGTATTTTACAGATGAGAGAGGCTCAGAATGCGTGGGTGACTTGGAGCACCCGCAGCAGATGTAGAGAGAGGTCTTCTGAGCTGAAGTCAGTGCACACCGTCTACACTACACTGCACTACATGTGGTGTAGACGGTGTGCACTGACCTTAGCTCAGAAGACCTCTCTCCACATCGGGATAAATGCAGCTTGTATCCAGAGGGCCTGCTGATGTCCTCTTTAGTGAAGCAGTGCCGTCATCAAAAGCAAACCTCATCCTCTGTTGGAAGTCCCACGTCCACAATTCCATTAAGAATTCTGGGCTGTGGCAGCAGTGCTGGAGCGGTGAGGAGATTCAGGCCATCACCCCGCCTCCCCTGCGTCCCGCCACCTTCGTCCTTGGACCTATTCCAACAATCTCTTGAAAGCCGGTGGATTACTATGAAGTTCTAGGCGTGCAGAAACATGCCTCGCCCGAAGATATTCAAAAGGCATATCGTAAACTGGCACTGGAGTGGCACTGAGATAAAAATCCTGAGAATAAAGAGGCAGCAGAGGGAAAATTCAAACAAGTAGTGGAGGCGTATGAGGTGCTGTCGGATGCTAAGAAACAGGACATCCATGGTGGAGGAGGCGGTGGAAGTAATTTTGACAGTCCATTTGAATCTGGCTTCACATCCAGTGACGCAGATGATGTCTCCAGGGATTGTTTGGTGGAAGGGACCCATTTTCATCTGACTTCTTTGAAGACTCTTTGGAGGACTTCCTTGGGAATCAAAGGGTCCCTGAGGAAGCAGAAGCCGAGGGACGGGCTGTTCTCCACGTTCAGTGGATTTCCGTCTTTCTTTTGATAGGGGATTTACTTCATTGGGTCACTGGCTCACGGAGGCCTCACTTCATTTTCTTCTGTGTCATTCGGTGGTAGTGGGACAGGCAACTTCAAATCGATCTCAACTTCAACTAAAATAGTTAATGGCAGAAAAATCACTACAAAGAGAATTGTCGAGAATGGTCAAGAAAGAGTAGAAGCTGAAGACGACGGCCAGCTAAAGTCCTTACGATAAATGGGAAG